GATGAGGGCTTACTCACAGGACTGTGGATGAGGGCTTACTCACAGGACTGTGGATGAGGGCTTACTCACAGGAGTGTGGGTGAGGGCTTACGCACAGGAACAGCTCAAAAGCAGCCCCTGTCACTGCCTTTGCTGTGTCGTCTGGGTTTATCTTTATGATGAACCAGGGTAAAGTACTTTTATGATAAAGTACTAGGGTGCTTTCCTGAGCCCTGCACGGTGGCAGATCACTGAACCTGAGGTGGGAGCGCTGGGGACTCCTTGACTTTATAATCAGTTGGCCAGAAGTACAAGTGATGAAGCAGGACTTGTGATTGGCCCCCAGTATGAGACCAAGCCCTTCCCTTTTAGTGCCTGACACTCCCAGTGTCAGAACCAAGTGGAATTATGGGATATCCAGTTGGTGTCTAAAGAGAATTGGCAAATTACCTGCACCGTAGGTGGCAAAATTGTGAGTCAGAATAGCTCAGTCATCAGACCCCAGACAAGGATGGGAAGGTATGAGAGAGCATTGAATGGCTCCCGTGGCCTCACAGCTGCTGAGCGGCAGAAGTGGTAGCGCCCAGTCTCCTGGTTCCCCCATGGTGTTGGTAAGCATTGCTCTGGCTCATCGAGCATGAATGAATGCATGTAAAGAGTCTGGCTTCCACTTATCATCCATGCCTTTGGCCGAGCACAGATAATCTCCATGTTTCCCCACCTTCCCATCATTCCACAGTGGTCTTGATGCTTGTTGAATTAATTTTTCAATTATGGAAAGGTTGCTTTTAATTTTTTCTTACAGTTGTTACCAAATCTATACCACGTGGGCGGTGCATCCTGGGCAGGAGCCAGCGGCCTGTCGTCCAGTCCCATTCAGGAGACCCTAGAATCGATGGCAGGAGAAGTCACGAGAGTTGTTGATGAACAACTAAAGGTCTGTAGATTTTGTTATTTTGGAAATGAATTTGTAATGGCTTAACTACATATGATAGTGTCTTAGGCTATAGCTACCTGTGTTTATATGTGGTGTGTGTGTGTGTGTGTGTGTGTGTGTGTGTACGTACAAGCATGTACATATACTTATGGGCTAGACACACAGCGTGTACAAGTTACATGCTAGACACACAGCATGTACAAGTTACATGCTATGTCCATGTTATCTTTGTATGGTTTGGAACACTTTCTCACATAACAAGTCTTGCTTTTGATGGTGAGTCTCTAAATGCCCTCAGTATGTTAGGTTGCTACTGAAAAGGAAATGGTTGATTTCTACATAGATGACACAGAAGTCAGCTTTGGAACCAAATGTCATCTACTGTTACATGTGATTTAGAGAATGGGCACGGTGGTAGGGGCTGTGTGTGAATGCCTCGATGCCTACTTACTTGGAGAGCTGAGCACGGGTCAGGCAGCTGCCCTTGACGGGACCTAGGTGTGAATGACCACATGTATTTAGATGGAGCTCCAGGCATGCAAAAAAGCGCAGAGGTCTGCTGTTGGCTTACTGTCTGGAGAAAAAGGCCAAAAAGTTTTCCTAGATTTTAGAGGGCCTGGGTAACCCAGAGCGGCTTTCTCTAGAGGGAATCCCAAAGCTCAGCTATGTGAAGACATCTTGCTTGTGGTCTGCCTTTCCAGGGTGCCACAGCCACCTTGTCTATGTCTGTGAGGACTTGGTCTGCTTTCTTCTGAGAAGGCTCAGATAGTTCGGACTTCGTGTGCAAAGGAACTTTGCTAATTATTCTCAGAATAATATTTGCTAATTAGTCTCAGAAATTGAAGTTAATGAGGCAGAAAATGTTGTGGATTCTTAGATCGTTAGGTCCGTCTTCCATACACACAGCAGAGAGATGCTTGCACGTTGGTTTAATTTTGTTAACCGTGATTTCTGCTGCCTTGTTGAATGCCTCTGGCGTCCTCCAGGGACTGTCTCCTTATCTGCTGATTCCAGAACCTGTTTCTGTATTTTCCCTGTTCCTTACTGACTCTTTCCCATGAGGACTCACCCGCTATTAGAGGATTTTAAGTTGCTTCTTAATTTTCTCTTAACTGCAATGTTTAGTTTTTGACTCTTTCTGTCATCTGAAGACCACTCACTTCCTTTCTCTGTCCTTCTACTGACCTGGCAAATGGGTGGCCTTTTGTTTGAGAAAAGAATCCACATTTTTGTATTTATAACAATTTTGTAAGTCTTTGGCTTCCTTAAAATTATGTAAGAAAAGGGGCTGGAGAGAGACGGCTCAGCGGTTAAGAGCACTGGCTGCTCTTGCAGAGGACCTGGGTTCAGTTCCAGGCATCCAACGCCCTCTTCTGACTTTGTGGGCATTGCACAATATGGGTGTGCTTACATGCAGGCAATATACTCATACATAAAATAAAAATAAAATATAAAAAAATTATGTAAGAAATGCATTTTAATATAAATAATTAAACCATAGAATCATTCCTTATTTCATTGTTAGTAGCAAATTTTCATAGATAAAAGGAGCCCTGGGGTTGGAGAGATGCTCAGTGGTTAAGAGCACTGGCTGCTCTTGCAGAGGACCTGGGTTTGATTCCCAGCACCCACATCGTGGCTAACAACCATCCATAACTCCAGTTCCAGGGGATCTGATGCCCTCTGCTGACCTCCGAGGGTGCACGACATGGGTGCCCCTACCTACATGCAGGCAGTACACTCATACATATAAAATAAAAATAATAAATAAAATATCTTAAAAAAAGAGTCCCTTTTCCTATTTCTCAAACTTTCTAAAATAAGCATGCTATCCTAGCAAGAGTTAATGTGGATGGACTCCTTTGTAGACAGTGGTAATTGTTATTTTATTGTAGTGATTGGAAAACAAGGAGCAAGACTGGCTTTTAATTTTGTGTATCCTGGCTGCTCCAGGGCGGCTGCTGCCTAACCTTGTTGACCAAGCTTCCTTGCTCAGGCTAGCCCAGGTCACTGGTAACCATGGTGATAATTTCTGGCATTAGTGTTTGATTAGCATCATTGTGGCATTGTGGCTAGCGATGGTCATTTTAAATACTGAATGAGAAAAGTTCAACTGACTCTTCGGAACATCTTTTAAAACTATTATTTCAGAAAGCAAAAGAAAGAGGACAGATAGGCTAACCTCGGCATACTGCCTGGAGGCGAGGGAGGGGCTGGAGAAGCTCCTTCTTTGATCAGCTATGTGTTCTCTGGGCTGGCCTGTGTCAGGTGTTTGAAATGACACCTCCTCCTGTCCTTCCTCTTTGGATCCTAACATTCCTTGAACAATAATAGACAAGCAGGATTTTAATATTTTAACAGAAGAGGACTGATCCCTCCCCACCGCCTTCTTACATTTTAGCATGTTTGTTTTGGCCTGGGGAGTTCTTGCTTTGACTCAGCATTTAAATGGTTAAAATGCTTCACTTGTAAACTTCAGATTTACTTAGTCTAGGAGGCCTGGTGGGCTTAGCTGGCGTTCTGCCAATTGTGAACTCAGTTTGGTCAGAACAGTCCTTTGATCTCCTTTGCTGTACTTTGGGTTTTGCTGTTGCTGTTTTCTGGGGCTGGGATTGAACCCAGGACCTTGCACCTGCTAGGCAGGCGTTCTACTATTAAGCTACATCCGTAGCCCCTCATTGTGTGTCTCCAAGGCAGAAGGACAAAGGGTTTCGAAACACTCCAGTATGAATCTTACATTTGCTCAGTGCCAAAGACACACAGATGGCTGCCAGCTTATCTTTCCAGAAGGAAAAGAGAACGAGGGAGGGAGACGTAGGAAGAAAAGGCCACTGAGAATCTGGGATCCTTAACAGACAAGACCAGTCCAGGAAGCCCAGCAAACCCCAAGCAGGGCAGTCAGAAAAAGTGCAGCAATGAAGATCAGGCCCAGGGTGAGAGGAGGGCTTTCACAGTTCCTGAGACACACCATGTGAGTCCTGGTCACTCAGTGGTTCATGAAAGTCAGGAGACAGTGTAATGATATCTTTAAACTTCTAAGCAAATGTAAGGTGTCAGGAGAGAGTTATACATGCTCATGGACCCCTGCTTCAGGAGGAGGAGCAAATGAAGACATTTTCATCAAAAGAAAAACTAAGATAGTGGGTCTGGAGGGGCGACTCGGTGGTTAGGAGCGAGTATTGTTCTTGTAGAACACCAGTGTCTGGTTCCCAGCACCCATGTTGTGTAGCTCACAGGCGCCTGTAAGTCCAGCTCCAGAGGATCTGATGCCTTCTTTTGGCCTCCATGGATACTCCATACACATGGCCACAAACACACACAGATACACAAACACACACACAGACACACAAACACACACACACACACACACACACAATTAACAATAGAATCTTTGGGGCTAGAAAGAGGGCTCAGTGGTTAAGAGCACTGGCTGCTTTTGCAGAGGACCTGGGTTTGATTCCCAGCACCACATGGTGGCTAACAAGCATCCTTAACTCCAATTCCAGGGGATGCGATGCTCTTTCTGACCTCCTCAGGCATTGCGTGACATGGGTGCACTTACATACATGCAGACAATACATTCATACACACAAAATAAATTAAAAATAATAAAAATAAAGAGAAAACTATAGAATCTTTTTAAAACACTGAGATAGATTTTTTTGTCACTAGATCACACTAAAAACAACATTAAAAGGATATACTTTGAGACAGAGTTATCAAAGTTATAAAAGTTAGATTGAACATTCTGATAGAAGAACTAGAGAAAGTGTATGTCAGTCCGCAGACACCCTGACTTTCTGAAGCAGTGCGGGTGCCCAGCGTGGCATGGAGTGAGAAAAACCAAGTAAAGTTTCTGGGTGGGGTGGGGGTCAGTCAGAAGAGAGCAAAGCTGAAGCTTTCAA